GTTGTATGACCCTTCTCTTTTTGTTTTGGGTGCTCAGGGAAAGGTTTAAAGGAAGGAAGGTGTGAGAGGCACGCTTGTGTGGGACTCTGGGTTTGACTCGGATGATGCTTTTGTGGTTGAACTCGTTGAATGTTGACTTTGCTCTGCATGCAGGTGTGTGAAAGGGGAAAAGTACTGGGAAGAGAAATTCAAGTTTTACTGATTGAAATAGTGAAAATGTTGAATGTTTTCTTTGTGATGTTTTCACCTGTCTGATAGGGCACAACCGGATTATGAATGGGAAAAGTAACCGAGGTCGAAAAAGAAGCGGAATATAAAAGAACGAGAGATAATAAACTTAGTTATCCCCGATGTTTCCTTTCTATCCCGAATGACTCTCTCGACCTATTTCTTGTCCGAACAAGTCTCGACTTTGACTCCTTCCTCATCTGCATTCCTAATTCGTTTAAGTTGTTCCTTCATGTAGAGGTCCAAGGTAGTCGTTCTGATTCTGAGTCTGAGGGCTCTCTCGCTCTAGGAAGAAATTCGGGACGCAGGGTTAAAACGCCTATTGAACCCGTGTTTGATTCCCCTTATGGAATCGAACAATTATGGACAATTTCTCAATTTATGCATGTTATCCTTCCTCAGGGGCCATGCAATAGCCGAGCAGCCATATCTGGTCGTGAGATCTGGCGATCTCACGACCGAAATTTGTCGCTCCTCATGCCCACTCTGATGCATCGTCCGGTTCGATTCCAGTATCCGTCGGGTGAGATCCTGGCATGCTATCTTACTGGGCTAGCTCATATTTCACACCAAATAGGAGCAGCCCTTCGATAGGAAGGGCTATGCCAAGTGGGAATAGACGGCACACAGCCATCAGACCTTTGCCTGCCCCTTCCGACTGCCTGAGACAAACATGCACCCATCTCCGTAGGGTAGGACGCATGCCCCCCCTCGGCATACCGCTGTTGGTTCGAATCCCGGTAAGGGAACCCTTAAAAATATTAGGTCTGAATCTCGACTTTTGTGTTGTGGCATAACGTGGTCAACCTTTTTGGCCCTTTTAAGCTCGTCGCGCGGCTTAGCAGCCACGCGTCATTATTTTAGGTAGGATGGGTCTTAGCCTCGACTGTGTGCCTTCGCGGCCCTACTAGAAACCGCATACGACTGGTCACACTGCGGATTACCGCCATTATTCCCGGACGTCACAAGCATCTAGTTCATAAAAGTTATAGTTTCTCGTTCGTAGGCTAAGTATGAATAAACTTCTGGCAGACATCAATCTCATCAAGTTCCTTGATTTAACGAAAAAGTCGAACGGCGTCCGACATTGAAAAACCCGAGCAGATACCCTTGTAAGGGTTTCTGCTCCGACAGCGGTGTCGAAAACGTGCTCATTGACTCATTTTTTTCTTATTTTTATAATTAGTTTTATTTTATGTATTTTATTTTTATTTTAAAATTTATAAGGAATTTAGATGTAATGCTCATATTAATGTTATTTAGTTTATTTTTCTTCATATTATATCGTTTGTTTTTGGGCTACCTGCCGAGCCTCCCGGGTTACCCTATTTTCCCGGACGGCCCGACTGTGCAAGGACTAAGGAAGGTCCTACAAAAAAAAAAAAAAAAAAAAATTCAAACAAATCCAAAAACAAACTATGTTATGCCGAAAAATAAACTGAACAACTTTTGCCTCAGGGTCACATCGAAATGTTTTACCATATTTTAAATAAAAAATATTTAGTTTTTGCTAAGAAAATTTAAATTTATTTTTATCCTTTTATTTTTTTTTTAATTTTTTTGCCCCGACCGGGCAAGTGGCCTCAGGCCACTCTGGTAGCCTAATTTTTTTAAAAAAATTTTAAAATATTTTATTTTTATTATTATGTTTTTTTTGGTCCACGTTCGGCTCGAACGACCGTAAGCATCCCCAAGGTGTACCGTACGTTCGAGGGTTCGGGTTCGGGCGTTCGGCCCGTCCCGAAGGCCAGTTACCCTGCATACATATACATTTGGAAGTTGTGTTTCCAAACCCAACAAAAATAAAAAATCGTCGAGGATGGCCACTCATTTTTTTTTTTTTTTTTTTTTTTTTCAATAGACACAAAAATTTTCGGGGTCAGGTAGGTCTTGTTTTATGTCTTTTTTTTTTTGCCTAAGCTGTTGATCTGCATTGATCGACGCCGCTGAAGTCCCGAAATTTTGAATTCGAATCTCGGGGCTTTGCGCGCGGCTCTGCGCCCTCCGTCGGACTATTGCCCGCGCTAGTTTGTCATTGCCTTGCTGATGTTGTCCTTGCCATCGTGGTCATGTCGTGGTCGTCCTTGCCATCGTGGTCGTTGCCCTGCTGCACTCCTGCCGCGCCATCGTCATTGCCTTCCAGCCATGTGATCATTGTGGCCCTCCATCCACGCCATCATTATCTCCTTCTTCTTCCTCGTCTTCCTCGTTTCGGTTCTTCGTTTTCTTATTTTCATTTTTTTTTTGCCTTTTTCTATTCTTTTTCTTCTTTTACTTTTTCTTCATCATTTTTTTCATCATCCTCTGCCATAGCGATTCTTCTTTCACCTCCTGGATCCGCCATAGGGGTTCCCTTTCTCCTTCCTCCCTCCATATGCTCTCCGTTTCTCCTTTCTCCATTCACAGTCTCCCTCTCGCCTCCATCCTCCACCAGTTAACCTCCCTCCACGTAGTCTACCTTTCTTTTTCCTCCACTGCAACTCCCTCTCTTTTCCTCTATAGTAGTCTTCATTCCTCTGCCATAGTCTCTCTCTCCCCCCATCCTTCTTATTAGTCTTCCTCCCTCCTCCTCCTCCATAGTGTCCGTCCCCCTCCTGCGAAGTGGGCAACCGCTAATCTACCCCGCTTTTGCAACCCCTCCCCTTCCCCCTAACCCTCACCCCTCCTTGACGCACTGAAACCTATATGCCTGAAAAAAAAATGAGGCCAAATTTTGGGACTATTGGGAGAGCGAGCAAGACCCCACAGATAAAAAAAAAATAAAAAAAATTGGTGGACTTTTTTCATGCCCAGGGTACCCCAGGTGAGGTTCCTATCCGGGCGAGACGTGCCCGACCGGGTACCTCGGAAAAGCTAGTTATTATTATTATTTTTAATAATTGTTTTGCCTGGTTCGGCAAGGGGTCCCAAGCCACTCTGGTAACATAGGCCAAAAGTTAATAATTTTAACATTTAATATTAATATTATTTTTTTTATTGATTTGTATTATCGACAATGATTAGTAAAAAATGAAATAAGGACTCAATATCATCACAAGTAAAAACTTGAGAATATCGTCTATTAATTATTTCACCATAAGCTTTATGTGAATTGTAACATAAAAGAGTAAAAAACCTTAAATTGTAAAAAAAATAAATCATTTTTATCAAATTTTAACTCGATAATAAAATTTGATATTATTGCTGTGACTCATATTCTACGTATAATTTTTAGCTGCCCTCATACTGATTTTGTGTTACGCTACTATTTCAATTTAATTTAAAGCATGATGTTGTTTTAAATATGAGTCCAATGTATCTTTTGTACAATGTGTGACACTTTAAATGTGGTGACAATTTCTTGTAATATTCCTTATCGAGTCCTTTAGTATTTCTTAAATACAATGAATGATGATACATTTTTTTGACCATTGTATATTAGTACATATTTAAAAGTTGTATTTTGATTCTGAACAATTTATCTATAACCCGTTGTCTACATATAATTAATAACTTATTTTTCATTAGTTACATAAATCATTATTTGTTTGTTGTCATTTTTTATACAAAAAGGGTTAATTGAATTATATGGTAACCATAAAGCTTAATATATTCTTACCAACTTTGTCTTATATTTTTAGTTAGTTGTACCATATATTTTCTTAAACATTATAAAGATGGCATGTTCTTTTGATCACACGATTGAACCATTTTTTACATCAGTTATAAATAATACAACCTTTTTGTTTTTATTGTTGACATGACCTTATTTAAAATACAAGGCAAGTAAATCCTATGCAAATCATAAAACTCTATAACCTTTTTTTTTCCAAATATAACAGTAAGGATAGGTTTTATTTACTACTATATTATGAATGAATATCGTAATTGATCCACCTTGAATATCACCAACTCATTTTTCAAACTTAAGCGTGCAAAAAATTAAGATTTTTAGGGAAAAAATCATTTATGTAAAGGACAAAACAACAACCTAATTAGTATTTCCTGTTTGTTATCAAGTACATTCGACAACTGTCTTTAATCTTTGCTTATTTAATTTTCTGTTTCCCTCAATTCCGCTGCTGGAACATCCTTATTATATAGCGTGTGTATATACAAAGCCTCGATAAGTGTAATAGTGAGGAACACTTCCTTACCTGCATGATGTCCTGATTCTGTTTGACAATATCAACAACCTTTGCACGACTCCATCACCATAGCACGCGAAAGCATAGTGGAGTTTTTGAGGCTGAGTATGAGCGTCTTTGAAAAGAAGGGCCGAAGGCATGTCCACTTGCCTTCTGCCATATTTTCATGCCAGAAGCCGTTTGCATCATGCGAGCCAGCCGAGCCTATTGTAGCTCCAAGTCGTCTCGACATGGGCGAGTGGTGCCTATTGCTAACACAAATCGGTGTCGTCCCGACATGGGTGAGTGGTGCCTATTGCTAACACAAACCTGTCACTAATACGTGGTGTCATTTCGCTGGCCTGTGCATGGCATCATGACCTGCCAGTGCCAAAAGTGGAAGCACCGGTGCTTCTTGGAGGACAAAGTTGTGATTTTCCGGAACTGTGAGGGCATTCTCCAATGCTTGTCCAGAGTCTGGACAATGCACTAATCTTTTCCGTACGAGTTGGGGGAGCAATCCATCTGGTCTCTTGGCCATATTCTGAGGCTGCAGCCACCTGGGTTCCAGGATGGCCTGGGAAGAACGCAAGCACGATCAGATAATCTTGATGCCCGCCCTCGTGGCGATGATGCAATCCATGGGATCGAGACACGTGTCGCTAATCGGACCGCTCTGGCATCCCTTCCTCCGTTTCAGACCGGCCCTTCCATTTGTACGTACGTCCTGTGTACTTTTGCTCGAAGAGGCCCTTTGCGTACCTACGTAGTTGAGAACCCCAGCGATAGCACGTCTTCGTTGTCTCTGCGTACCTCCCTTCGCTCTCTCCCTCTCTCTCTCGTCCTCTCCCTCTATCCAGTCGAGAGAAAGCGAGAGGCGGAGAACTAAGGGGTTAGGCGGGTAAGCCAGCTGGGCTGAGTGCCAGCCTGAGAGCGAGCGGGAACCGCCCTTAGGCGTGACTGGAGGAAGTTTAACGTGGCGTGCGGTGCATCTTTCACATGTTGTCGTTAGCGAAAAACGCGCAACAAATATCCACTAACGCCATAGCTGTCGTTCGAGGAGCTTCGAAGATGGCGGCGGCGACTGCGTCACTCGCTGTGTCTTCTTCCTCTTCTCTGTCCGCTGCCGCCGCCATCGCTGTTTCGGCGAGGTCGAGAGGCTTCGCCACTGCAAGCGGCGATGGTGCTTCTGGAAGCGCGAGCGTATTTTCCCGCCAAGGAAAACTGCCCAATGGTACGTATTCTATCCACTTTTTGTTGTCTGTACCTCCTCACCTCCATCGTCGGATAGAAGGAGCTCCCTCCCACCCTCCCTCCCTCCCTCCCTCCCTCCCTTGCGTTAATGGTTCATCCCCTGACATATACCTTCTGCAGGCCTGAATTTCCACCTCCCTCCCCCCCCCCCTTCCCCCCATCCCTGGAGGAGTGGTGTGGAGATCATATTAATTTAATGAGTGAGGAATAGGATTGGGTCGCACAGTACGTCGCGTCGTTCGCCAAGGGAGCCGTCGCTTCGTGTTTGTGATTTTGTACATGAATGATGTCACTGGCAAGCTCATTCGTTGAACTTGGAACGATATCTAGAAGATGTACATTCATTTCCAACGTTGAACTTGGAACGATGTCTAGAAGATGTACATTCATTTCCAAAATTTGTTGGTAGGCCAGTCAGCTGTCAGCGGTTTCTAATTTCCCGCCATTTTCCTATTGGAAATGTCGTTTCTAGAGCTGGCAGGACAGATAGCTCTTAAGTAGTAATTACGCTTGTTCTTTTCGGCACTGTGTAATTTCCCGCCGTTCTAGTGTGAATGTCCTTTCTAGTGCTAGGAGAGCCGCCAGCTGTCACTAATTAATTATAGTAAGCTGTCTTTTCTCTGGCACGTGTCTCCGTTCATTTTGTAGTTTCCGGCCATTCTAGTGTAAATAGCCTTTCTAGGGATGAGAGGCTTAATTTAACCTCTTTTTTTTTTCTTTTCCCGCCACCTTAATTAACGAGCTTAATTAATCGGAGCTGACGAGCCTCTCAGAAAAATGGCGGGAGTGACCGGAAACACGTGAAAGGACATTTTCTGGTCACTCCCGCCATTTGTCTTTTTGTTTGGGAAGCTTCTCCCATAGGTCATTGTTCTTCTGAGGGGAGGGCAACAAAAAGGCGGGAGAAAGGGTTTGCAAAAAACAAAAAAGGACATTAAAGCCAAGGACTTCTTGTTCTGAACGGGCAACGGGAAAACGCGGGAAAACAGGAACCCGCTTTGATGGTTGTCGTTTTTGGGAGTTGCCCCTCCCCCCTCCCTCCCTTGCCCTCTCCCCCCTTCCCCCCCCTACCCCTCCTCCCCCCTTTCCCCCCCTACCCCTCCTCCCCCCCCACCCCGTATCAATAACTGTGCTGCTTGGCGGCAATCTCTGGTTTCGCAAAACTGAGGCTTCCCTTCCCCTCCTCTTTCCCCCCCCCCCCCTCTTAAGGGAACGGAGCCGTCTTTAGAAGCTAAATCGTGATTGTTAGCTTTTCTGAACAAGCCAGTTGAGACCTTGGCGCCTTTTTTTTCACTTTTATTTCCTCCTCTTTTTTTTTCTGCGACTCGAGCCTTGGGCGAGACCCCCCCCCCCCCCAATAAGTGCACACTCCAAAATAAAGGAAAAACAATGAAGAGGACGTCCAAAAGTATCTAATGTGCTGGGGACAGTGGAAAAGAAAAAAGAAAAGGAGAACGTCGAAAAGTATTTGGGGTGCTGGGGAGAGGATGGCCACTTTTCTGAAGAAAAAAAAAAGGCAAAAAAGAAAAACGAAAAGGGAAAAAAAAAGAAGAAAGGAAAAAGAGACGTCCAATAGTATCCTGGGCACTGTGGAGGATGGCTACCTTTTTTTTAATTGAAAAGAAGGATAACAGAAATAAACGAAAAGGAACTAGGCTACCAGCCGGGCCGCCCGGGTCCCGGGAGGCTATGTTATGCAGAAAAATAAACTGAACAACTTTGGCCTGAGGGTCACATCGAAATTCTTTGCCAAATTAAAAATTAAAAAAAATTAAAAATATTTTTGATTATTTTTATTACTTTCTTTTTTTTGGCCCGGCCGGGCAAGTGACTCCGGGCCACTCTGGTAGCCTAGAAAAGGAAGATAAAAAAGAAAAAAGGAAAAAGAGGACGTCCAATAGTATACGCCGAAAAAAAAAAAGAAAAAAAGTGTACGCCGCCGTTCGTCTCTACAAGAGAATCCCCCGCAATTTAGACTACTGTAGGAATTGCCTGGATGTATCTGACCGCAATTCACGCCCTCAAACACGCGACATCCTGTGACCGTTGAGGACGTAGAAGAAAGAAAAACCGATGGCAAGCTCAGACAAGGCATTTCTTGGATGTATCTGAGCGCAATAGCGGCCAAATTCAGCCAAATAAATCATAGGGAGGGGATGTCGTAAGGAATACCACTCCCAGAATGACCAAGTCCATCGCATTCACCTACTGCCGCGCGAGCGCAAGAGAAACGGCGGCTTAAGTAACCGGAATTTTTTTTTTTTTTTTAAATCCACGAATTGAAAAAAAAAAGTGGCGTAGAGAAGTTGACATGAGGAAAATACTTATAAACAATCGATTAAGAGAGAAAACTCCTGTAAAGAATAAAACTCGTTTCGATTTTTATTTTTATTTAATTTGTTTATTTTTTTTAATGCGTGTCATCCTTGGGCAGCGGCCATGCTAATCTTGCTAGGTGCCGGGAAATAAAAAACAGATTAATTTAGTTAAGCCTTCCATCTCTAGAAAGGACACTGGAACACGTGCCAGAAAAAAAGAGAGCTTAATTAATTGTACAGTTGGCGGCCCTACCATCACCAGAGAGTGGCGGGAAATTAGACAGCTCCGATAAGGACAAAAAACGTAATTACGTACTGCTATCTGTGCTGCCAACACTAGAAACGACATTCACACTAGAATATTGGCGGGAAATAAGAAACTGACAGCTGTCTGGCCGACCAACAAGTTTTTGGTGAAACAGCGGGAATAAGACGTTAGAAATGTGGGCATTCACACTAGAAAGTGGCGTGAAATTAGAAATGGGCATTTACACTAGAAAGTGGCGGGAAATTAGAAGACAGTTCCGAAAAGGACAAAACAAAACGTCATTACTAGTAATTAGAGCTATCTGTGCGGCCAACACTAGAAGCGACATTCACACTAGAAAAAAGTGGCGGAAGATTAGGAATGAACTGCGGGATTTATGATCAGTAATGAATGTACATATTTTAAATATCGTTCCAAATTCAGAGAATGATCACTTTTCCTCACACTGAGTGATTGATTAGACCTTCCACACCACACTAATTAGTATTACCCTTCTGTGGAAAAAGGACTGGGTTCTGCGCAGTGACAACACGTACAAAATCAGCCAACGCGAAGCGAAGGCCACGTGACGAACGAGGCGATGAACTGAGCAGAACTCAGTCCTTTTCCTCACACTGATTGATTAGACCGTCCACACCACGCTAATTAGTATGACCCTTCTCTGAATCGTTTCAATTCTAACGGATGCCCCGAGTGACGTAGCCCGATCTGCCAAAAAAAAGAAGAGGAAGAGAAAAAGGAAAGAACTGTTTGCAGCTTCACGGCCTGCCAATGCGCGCTCGTCTGTCTTTTTCTTTTTTTTTTTTGTTTTGTTAAACTGGTCCAGTGGGCTCTTCCATTATGCCAATAACAAATTGGGGCCGGCCGGCAATCCCTCGCATACAACCCGGAAGAAGAGTGCTGGTATCATTACCCAGTATTGGTGCAGGTGTTGGGAATTGGGAATTGAAGTCACAGGAACAGAAATGATCAAAAATACCCACTCAGGGTCGCTGTCCGGACTGTCCAAAACCCTTAAAAAAAACAATTTCCACCCATTTCTAGAAAGTGGCGGGAAATTAGACAGTGGCGGGAAACCCCGGGTAATTTCCAGCCTCAAAGCCGCACAAAGCAAACAAGATCCACCAAACATTAATCTCTCAAAGCTAAAAAAACAGAACGAACCTGAAAAAGGCTCGTCGATCATCATCACCGCGTGCAATTTACAAAATTTACCAATTTTACCAATTTTACCAATTTTACCAATTTGCCAATTTTACCAATTTACCAGTTTACTAGGCTACCAGCCGGGCCGCCCGGGTCGCCCTATTTTCCCGGGCGGCCCGGCCGGGCAAGGACCAGGGAAGGTCCCGGCCAAAAAAAAAAAAAAAAAAAATCCAAAAAATCGGAAAAAAAAATAATGTTATGCAGAAAAAAAAACTGAACAACTTTTGCCTTAGGGTCAAATCGAAATTCTTTACCAAATTTAAAATAAACATTTAAATGGAGAAATATTTTTTATTTTTATTTTTATTTTTTTATATATTTTTGGCCCGGCCGGGCAAGTGGACCCGGGCCACTTGGTAGCCTAGCCAGTTTATCAATTTATCAATTTACCGATTCACCAATTTGTCACCGTGCACTGTTTTCTACAGTAGCTATGGATGGTGCATGTATGCGTTTGCGGTAGGGAGGGAAGTTAATCGTGGATGATGTATGTATTGGGCCCTGTCATCATCCTTCGTGGCGGTAGGGTAATCAATCGTAGCGCCTGCATGCGTCGGCAATGGAGATGATATGGATGTTGATGATGATGTATCTGATGGCGTAGATGTTGATGTCTATGTTGATGTCTATGATGACGTGGATGATGACGTGGATAATGATGTGACTTGGTCCAAAAAAAAAGATAACGTGGATGGTGACGTGGATGACAAGCCAAACCATGATTTGGCGTGTCATCCACGTCATCATCCACGACGAAGATGATGACGTGGATGGATGACAAGCCAGATCATGAATGGATGTATGACGTGGCTGGATGATTAACCATATCAGCAAGCCACGTCATTTTCCATGAGGCAGGACGTCCATAACGAAGGCCTTCCACGACGAAGATGATGACGTGGATGGATGACAATCCACAACGGAGGCCTTCGTCGTGGCTGCGGCAGTGAGCTGTCATCTGAAGTTAATTAATGCAATCATGAGGGCGACCTAATGATTGGTGTTCGTTGCAAACTGTCTTGTCGTTATCCACAGGCAATGTTATCACATTCGGGCCCACTTTGTCGACAAGTTCAGACTGACTCATGACTTTATTTATTATTAATTAATAATATTGTTATTATTATGATGTTATTATCTAGGCTACCAGAGTGGCCCGGGTCCACTTGCCCGGCCGGACCAAAAAGATACTAAAAATGAAAAAAATAAAAACTATTTTTTAATTTACATTGTTATTTTAAAAAAATTCGTAAAGAATTGCGATGTGACCCTGAGGCACAAGTTGTTCAGTTGATTTTTCTGCATAACATAGTTTTTTTTTCGGATTTTTGGATTGTTTTGTTATTTTTGCTTTTTTGGCTGGGACCTTCCCTGGTCCCTGCACGGCCGGGCCGCCCGGGAAAATAGGGTGACCCGGGCGGCCCGGCTGTTGTTCTTTGATCTTTGTAACAATCCCTTCGAGCGACCCGGTTGCGCAGCCATCCACGATCAGAGTACTGCCCAGACTGTTGCCCGGTGAAATTACCGCTTGAGTTCGCACCGGTAGAGCTACCAGCAGGATAGGACAGCAAAGGTTGAGCCGGGACTATCGCAGTACTGGAGGAGGGAGGGAGATTAGTATGCCTATCAGGGAGGGGGCAATAGCGAGAAATGTGACCATTCTGACCACAGTTATAGCAAGACCGATTGTCGACAATTGTTGCCGTTCGTCGCCATAGTAACTCGAGGCCACTCAACGATAGTACTACTTCTACGTCGGTTACCTCGTGCGTGAAAGTCAGATTACAGCATTCACGAAACGAAGAATGAACGGACCAATCCTGACGAACTCAATCAATCAGCAGGAGAAGGAAGGGAGAGGAAAGACAATGAGGAAAGGAGGTAGGAGACGCAAAAAGCAGTCGTACAACGAAACCCGAACGCGACTTGATATTAAGAAAAAGCTTGGATCACACTTGCGACCGAAGCCGCTTGGCGTAGGACCCGACCGGTTTCGCGTGGCCGCCCACCACGACTCATCAGGGGTCTTTTGAAAGTCGGTGTTGGAAGTTTCACACGAACTGCCGATATAGAAAGTCAGAAAAACTACGCCTAGAAGATACTAGAACGCTGGTTGATATCACCTCTACTGATCTGGTCCAAAAAATAGTCAGGTACCTATCCCCGTAGGGAAGTCCAAAAACCCGTCAAGTACACAGCCCCTCGAAAAAAGGAAAACCAGCGAACTACATATTCAAATCGCGTCCATCAATCCTCACCAAGAAATCGCGAGCTCGAATCACTTCACAAGGCACGTCCTAACTAACTACAAATATCCGCGAAGTCACGAGTTCAAAGCCTGCGTCAACCCACCCTTCATGTAGCAGAATAGGCCGCTCGAAATGTACTGACCTCGCTAAACGGAGTCATGTGCTCGCCATAGGCCGCTTCAAAATGTACTTGCCCTAAACAGACAGCCACTGGCCATGCACCTGGTCATACACCATGGCCTAATTTTGAGCCAGCTGTGACCTTTCTGTGTCATTTTCCCGTTTGGGAAACATTCCATGCGGTCCGCTTGCTTTGGCGGGACGAGGGCTCCAATCTTGGTCGCCAAGATTGGAGCCCTCGTCCCGCCTGGCTCCTCGTCCCGCCAAAGCAAGCGGACCACATGGAATGTTTCCCAAACGGGAAAATGACACGGAAAGGTCACAGCTGGCTCAAAATTAGGTCATGCTGTATGACCAGGTGCGCATGGGAAGCGGGGAGTTCCTTAGCTCCCAACTGAGTTGTCCTGTTCTGTCTTTTTCCCACTGTTTTTTTTGTCCTTTTGCAGTACTTGGTCGCCAGTGTACACAATATCTGTTTTTTTTTATTTATTATTATTTATTTATTTTTTTATTTTTTTAAATTTGGGTTAGCCTTACAAAATTGATTGTTTGTTGATTGATTGCGTGTTTTGCCCGTCTGCCTGTGCTGTGCGAACATCATGAACAGCTGCCCGGTTCGGATTCAGTGCGGCCATTGGAGATGACAGGCTTGCGGGATTCGGTGCCACGGCAGCACCCAAGGACGCCTTGGTGGAGCAGGTGAGGGGTCATGACGATGTAGTGGTTCTGTGGTTGCATGTCAGCTTTGATTCCACGTTATCATGCAAGGAAGGATAGCTAAGTTTTGACGCTCCACAGCACTTTTGTAGGATTGCAAGTCTCAATATGTGAAGGAGGTTTTTGTTTTCCCTCTCTTTCATCCGCAGATCAAGACCTGGAATCGGAAGCCGGAGTCAAGTCCGGGTATTGAGACTGGGACTGGAACTAACACTGGGATTGGGACTGGGATCGGAATCGGGAATGAAGATCGGGACGAAATGGAGACCAGAATTGAGACATGGAACCAACAACTGGAATCGAGACCCGGACTTGAGACCCCGAATTGAGACCAGGAATTGAGACCCCGAATTGAGACCAGGAATTGAGACCCGGAATCTGGCCTTCCCTGCGGACCGAGACCGATCTCGAGACCCGGAATTGTGCCCGGGAATTGAGCCTGGGAATTGAGCCTGGAATCTAGACACAGAATCAAGACCCAAAATTGAGGCCAGGAGTCGAGACCAGCATCAAGACCGAGACTGAGATTGGGATTGGGAACAATGAATGACACGGACCTGGAATTGTGACCTGCAATTGAGACTGCGAATCGGGAGACTTGCAATCGATTGCCAGTTGTCCGTCAAATCAGAATGACCAGTCGGATGTGCAGACGTTCTTAGAATGACTCAGAATGGGCGCCGCACCAGAATTGGGTTGGTAGAGTCTGCAGCAGATGCACAGTGGTTGGTTGGGCACAGTGGCAAAGCCTTGGTCCCACCAGCTCAAAATTGATCGGTGGGAGTGATGTGTGGCTTTCAATGTGACTCTAGTTAAGCCCTTGAAGTCCAGGTGTAACAAATATCCAGAATGAGAAGGGTCTGGCGGGGTTGTTTTCCGGCCTTTAAAGGGTCTGTGACTCTTTTCTGGCCACAAAGGGGTGGGTCATCTGCAAGCCAGCTAGCCAGCTGTGTAATGAAGACCACTGAAGACACTGAGGTGTCTGAAATTAACGTCTGCATCCACTTCATCTCATTAAGTCCCGTTTTTCCCGGGCTGTTAACTGGGTAAAAGGGTAGACCACGCTGTGCTGGACTCACTTCATACTCCCCCTCTATTTTGGCCTCTCTCTCTCTCTCTCCCCTTTGCTTGCAACTGCCAATCAGTCATCTTGCAGATGTTTTCAAACAGCCCGGAACTACGGTACTGACTTGGTTTTGCATTAAGGCTGACCTGGGCAATGACAGTGAGTACCTCACAGTGATCCTCTGTGTGTGTGTGTGTGTGTGTGTGTGTGTGTGTGTGTGTGAGAGAGAGAGAGAGAGAGAGAGAGGTTGCTGCTGCTGTTTTCCTGTGCTGTTGCTTGAATTGTTTGATTGGCTGCAAGCTTGTGTGTGTGTGTGTGTGTGTGTGTGTGTGTGTGTGTGTGTGTGTGTGTGTGTGTGTGTGTGTGTGTGTGTGAGAGAGAGAGGTTGCTGCTGCTGTTTTCCTGTGCTGTTGCTTGAATTGTTTGGTTGGCTACAAGCTTGTGTGTCAGTTGCTGGATATGAGAGAATTGACATGGACTGTCTAACGAAGGCGTGCTATGTTTGTTTCTTTTTTTGACAGTACTTGAGTCCGATTAATGCAACTGCGCAAGAGAAACATAAAATTGGAATATCAAAGGTGCGCAAGGATTTTGAAAGACGGCCAGGTGATACTGGGTCCTCTGAAGTGCAAGGTGAGTGCAATTTCCCACCCTTACTCTTTCCTTCCTCCCCCTCCCTCACCACCTCACTCCCTCTCTCACTCCCTCTCTCACTCCCTCTCTCACTTGCTCTCTCACTCCCTCTCTCACTCCCTCTCTCACTCCCTCTCTCACTCCCGTCCTCACACAGTCGAATTCTGTAAACCAAAACAAGTCCGTGTAGATGTCGATCACAATGATAACCACCAGCCTGTGGGTTATTAGGCAACCCCGACCAGTTTCGACCTCCGCCGCGCGGAAGTCCTCATGGGGCTTTTCCACCTCCTTCTCCCTTACAGTTGGACCAGACTTCCCTTCTCACCCTCCGCCGCTGTCGACCTTCTGATCATTGATCATTCTGATCCAATCGGAAGGTTGACGTCGGCGGACGGTGAGATCGGTTGGTGGGTCCGTACGAATGGTTGGAAGATCTTAGTGGGTTAGGCAATCCCGACCAGTTTCGACGTCCGCCACACGGTCGTCCTCATGGGGCTTTTCCACCTCTTTCTCCCTTACACTTGGACCAGACTTCCCTTCTCACCCTCCGCCGCCGTCGACCTGCTGATCATTGATCATTCTGATCCGATCGGAAGGTTGACGTCGGTGGATGGTGAGGTCGGTTGGTGGGTCCGTACGAATGGTTGGAAAATCTTAGTGGGTTAGGCAACCCCGACCAGTTTCGACGTTCGCCGCGCGGTCGTCCTCATGGGGCTTTTCGACCTCCTCCTTCCCTTACGCTTAGGCCAGACTTCCCTTCTCACCCTCCGCTGTCGTCGACCTTCGGATGTTTCTGATCCTCTATTGGAAGGTTGACGACGGTGGACGGTGAGATCGCTTGGTTGGTCCATACGAATGGTTGGACGCGCTTAGTCGTCGTCAGACCCAAAGCGAGTGTCAGGGTCATGCTGTAATTACATATTTCCTTTGTCATTTCTCTGTTGTTTCTTTGGGCTCACTTCTTTCATGCAGAACTGAGGGCATAGTCACACTAGGACTCTTCTAAATGAATCCGAGTGTAATTACAGCATGACCCTGAAGTATCTGACCACAATCACGTCCAGAGCTTAGTACAAAAAGTCCTACCAGTAGTGCGAGTACGACCTGACTGAGTGAGAGTTCTATTCCGTTTTTAGTACTTTTTACTATTCTGCATTCGTGCTTCGGAGAGTTCAAACTCTGTGTACTTTGCCACCACTACCCTTGCTCTCTGTCGTTTTTCGGCACTTAGTTCTTTGTAGGCTGGCTGGCTGCAGCTGTTGTCAGGTGCGTTTTTTTTGCTCTCTGTCGCTTTTCGGCACTTAGTTTTTTGTAGGCTGCAGCTGTTGTTAGGTGCGTTTTTTTCCTCGTTCCTTTTTTAAAGTTTTTTTTCCTTTCACGTGTGATTTCTGATTTGCGTAAGCACTTTGGAAAGTCTTATTAACTTCCGCGCGAGATCTCTCTCACAATCCTTTCCACTCTGACTAACTTGCACGCTTTTGAAGTTTTGGTCGCACAACTAGTACACATCAACAACGCTCAGCTCCTCCTTCATTGGCGTATATCATTGGTTGAATATTCAGTCGACGTGTCAATCACCCTCGACACATCATCGTCCCCTTCCCTCCCCTTTTGTGCAGCTTGAGTCTCCTCTTCATTGAAAAAATATGGAAAGAATGTAGGGGGAAAAAAGGAGTTCGGGCGACGGAAGTGCAACAACGCCGGCAAGGACACAGTATTGCATCTGAGATTCCATGCTGGCTATCAAACGGAAGGGTATTCCAGAAATGGAATATCCCTACCAGAAGGGTATTCCAGAAAATGGAATATCCCAACCAGAAGGGTATTCCAGAAATGGAATATATCCCTACGGGAAGGGTATTCCAAGAAATGCCGCTGCCCCGAATGCATTCGGATAAGAGTCGTAAGAGTCATGATAAGACAGTAGTCGTTGATCTGCACCGTGTATCCCGCCACATCTGATCTGTGGGCAATTTTTTTGGAATTAAAGGCCTGATTAAAGTGATTAGTGGCCACTAAGGAATTTCAGATGTAGAAGTCGACACCTGTATTTTGGAATGAAAGGCCTGATTAGTGGCAGCTAAAGAATTTCGGACGTGGAAGCCGGTACGCAAGTCCCCCTCTCCCTTTTTCTGCAACGTGCCATGCGATACTCCTTGAAGTGTTTTTGTCTGTTTCTCTTTCTGAAATTGTATCGTTCCTTTCGATTCCAGGAGTCGTCCACTCATGAACTGCTGAAATACAGACCTAAGTTCGAATCCTGATGGAGGACCTAGATGAATGGAACGAGTAATTCTGAAATATCTGAAGCCATTGATTTCGATGATGATATCTCAAGGCTGCAACCTTGTTGTAAACGAGAGGAGCAATAAAAGGGAGAAAAAATTGAAAAAGAAAAAAACCTTCAAAAAAGAAAAACAGTCTTAATAAAAGAAGAGGAAAAAGACTTATGTACTATGTAGTATATACCTCCCTCTATCCCCAGCCCCACCCCTCTTGACAATTTCCCACCTTGTTGAGGGGTGGTCCTAAGTTTAGAGGGGTGCCTCCACCTGTAAGAATGACTCATCTAGGAGCCGCAGTCGCGGCCTTGTGAGAGAGATCATTGTCAAACTGATCGACCCCAGGTAATGCGGAATTATTGGATTCCGTTCACGTAGTTCATCTGGACTGGAACTCAGGTCCGAATGGTGTACCCACTGAGCTTGGCCTGTCGGTTTGGAATGACCTTTTGTTCTCTCTCTCTCTTCTCCGCCCGCTCTGTGGAAGAACGTTCACTCCACTACTTCTTTCTTCTTCTTTCGTCTTGCGAGTGTGTGCTGCAACTGCTGCTGCCTGTGTTGCAAGTTCTGAGTTTTGAGTTCTTTTGTGTATGTGCGGGGGTGTGGGGGCGGCGGTGGGATTGATGGTGCAGTTGCTCTTCTTACATACAAGATCAAGTACATGACGGAGCACCTGAAGACGCATCGCAAGGTAAATTTCTTTGTTTTTGTCCTTTTTGTCCTTTTTAGAACTTGTAAGAAAATTACTAATCTTAAATTGATAGTATAATCACATGAGTAAAAGCTGGCAAATTTTGTTTCAATCTTATTATTATCATCATCATCATAATATTATGTCGTTGGCATTAGTTCCCTCCCCCTCCCCCCTCCCCTTCCCTCCCCTCCCCCCCCTCCTTCCCCGCCGCCCCCTTCGGAACCTAGCGAGTCCTGGTCTGATAGAGACAATGAATCGCTCTGGGATCTCTGTCCTTGTGCGTGTACACATTCTACTCTTGGTTATCGGCATATTCATTTCCGCTTGGGCCTCAATCGCCGACTTTGTCTGCGACTTGCGTCTCTGTGATAACCCTGGGGTGTTTTGAGTCTTATGAAGGCCTTGTGCCCATCATGAAGGAGGGGTTGGTGCTTATTATATTACAGTTGTGGGGAGAGTTGTTGTCGCTTTGTCGCTTGATCGACTGCCTGCTTGTTTGAATCCCCGTCCATCACCTCTTGTATCGTCTTCCGTGTGTCCGTGCAGTACCCTGCACCTCGCGTGTTCTTCTCTGATATATCATATTTGTGCAGCCTATGTTCATTTTACCTCTTCTCTATCTGGTGTTGCTTTCTCAGACTCCTTTTTTGAAAGGCTGCAAGCGCTGTTCAGAGGAGCGAAAAGGGTTTTGCGAATGCTCGGTCGCTAGCTGTGCTATATGTAGAGAGAGACTTACGTCCGGGTCAAAAGCCTGTCCGTCGTTCGGTGATTCACACGACTAATCACCGTATGAGGCTGCCTAATCCTGGCCACCGATATGTGTGGAGTAAGGATTAATCCTGGCCAAGCACATGTCGAGTGGTGGTTAATAATCCTGACCGTAGATTCTTGGATCGTATTACTTGGGCGGCGGGTGCCACATTCGTTGGCATCGATGATGTGTGACGACCTAGATGTTCTCTGTACTCTACTCTGATATGTGAGCTATCGTTTTTACCCTCGTCCCCCGAATCGAACGTACAGTCGCTAGAGCTGTATTTTGGTCAACTTTCAGACTGGATGCGGCGATAATAATGACCTTATACGTTCGATTCAGGGGGAAGATGGTAGTCTGCTGACTCCTGGTCATCGATCTGTGAAGTGAGTGTCTGTCCGGTTGGTTGTTGCTGACCTTCGATTGCTGAAGCGAAAGGCTCTTTGTGCGGCTGGCTGACCGGATGATGTGTAATTTTGGGTGTGGACGGACTGGTGTGAACAGGACTTTGCGTCAAGAAAGGGTCTGGAGGGGATGCTGTCGAAGAGGAAGCGACTTCTTCATTATTTGAGAAAGAAAGATGGCGATATGTATGCGCAGGTTATTGGACAGCTAGGATTGAAAGACAAGTTTTAACTGCCGTCGTGTATCTCGCCGATTCAGATGTAATGATCGGAGAGGAAGGCAATTGCGCATTTTGCAGGAAAAAAGTGAAAACAAAAACAAAAAAACAAACAAACGTTTTTTTACGTTTTGTAGATTACTCTTCTCTTATGCCTCTTGAGACTGCGAGTTTAATTGAAGCTTGGTGAGAGTGTGACGGATATCAAAAAATTTGAAAATTTTCAACCCCTTCCCTGACGGATTCTTTTTTGTTTCAACTTTCAAGTTCTCTCCTTTACCCTGATGAATGAAGCTGGAAATAAGTGTGACCAGACCATGCACCCACCCCACAATTAGGGGAAAATGCATTTACGTCAAAATCATCCATCTGCACGACTAGTTTACCATCTCTTTTGGGCTTTGCGGGTGAAGAAGGAACTCGGCAGTTCTCCACATGAACGGAAAAGCCGACCTTCGGACGTTTTTCACTGTTCGACGCACACACTGTCCGCCTGCTGCCCCTGCTACCCCCTTCCCTTCAACAGCCTCTCCAATGCAGCCCCGACCCCCCCCCCCCCCCCCCCCCCACCCCCCCCGGCCATCGGTCTACCTCCCTCTCACCCCCTGGCTTGTGGGTGGAACAAGAACTGGACGCGAAGTTTCGTCTCCGCTCGAAACTTACAGTGCGCCCCCCCCTGAATAGAAAGGGCAACCTTCCTATGGGTTTCACTGTTCCATGCACACACCCTCTCCACTGCCGCTGCTACTCCCTACCTTCAACTCCCCCTTCAGCAATTCCCCCCCCAACCCTCTAGTTTGCCCGACATTCGACCATATTCTTGTCAGGGGTTTGGACTAGACAGTCTGCTGGGATCACAGGGTTCGCGTGAGTGAAGTCGACCACTTTCTCTCTCAAGCGTATCTCATAAACTTCGGGCAAGGTGGTGGCGAGTCCTTATCTGTCGGTCAAATCTGTACTTGAAAGACGGTCGGGCTCCAGTTGGCTGATGAGTAGGTGAAAGTGCAACGAAACAGCTGTGCGAAGATTACCCTCATTTTGTAGAGGAGGGGGTTTCATGGGTGTGACCGACTAATTTCTCCGACGTACTGCCGTTCTTGTCAGGGGTTTGAACCGACCGACAGTCTGCATGGGTAATATATGACATGCGTGATGTGTCTACCAGAAGAGGGTGTTGGTTTATGGCATGGAGCCTTGGATATAGAGGAGGAGGGGGGGGAGGGGGAGGGGGTTAAAGTTGGGTTATTTGACTGGGAATGAAGCCCCCCTTTGCCGACAAATGAGACGACTTCGTTCACCTCCCGGATTCTCAGTCGATGAATACAAAAAATGATGCCTGCCTGTGTGTCTGCCATATGTTGACAATTAAGACCTGACGCGTGTTACCGTGCCGTCAGTACATTCCTTTGCCGTCAGTGCCGCTGCCTCCTGGACCTGATCCTCAATCTCCCGCCCAGATGGTTATCACATGTGCCGTCGGAGACAGATGATTAGTCGACCTCGGTTATTAAAATGGCCCCGGGTTAAACCACCACTACCCCTGCCGTCCTAAATTAGGGGGGACCGGTAGCACAGGTCCATGAGGGCTACCGGTAGCACAGTGGGGAGAACTGGTGGAGTGGCAAAATTGGAAAATGGGCTGAATTGCCCCCGCGATTTATTTCACGGTTTAAATGATTTAAAAAAAATATATATTTTTTCCTGTATAGATCAGGACAAAATCTACGGACCCTCAAATTTTTAGAGTTGTCGAGTCATCCTTCTGAGCGCAAATTATCGTGGAAGTTGGTGTCCTTCTCGCATTGGCCCGCATGTGGTAGAGTGTCAAAAGTGGAAAATGCGAGGAAACAGTGCGGCATTTATTTTCACGGTCTAAATTTTTTTTCTTCGTTTTTTTTTATTTTTTCCTGGAAAGATCACAACCTAATCTACAGGATACCCAGCCCCAAAACCTTTTGAGGCAAGTTTGGCACCAATTCGGAGGGGCATGACGAGCCAAGCGTGCCGCCAAACTGTCGGGGCAAGACCGAGTTTAGGGTTGTTCCATGGGTAAGTAAAGTCAGCTCCTTTGCCCCCCCCTGGCCTACATCCCCGATCCCGTTTGTGTTTGTGCCAGATGATGAAGCAGTCGATGGAATGGGATGCCAGCTTGGGGCTTCTTTCTGTTATTCTTGTTTATGGGGGTCCACATTGCAGCTAAACAGCCCAGATCGTACGCTAAGGTCCTAAAGTAGGGCTTTGCCCCATGTGGTGGACAGTTATGCTTGGCCCGCACTTGGGTTGCTGGGGGCCGACGGCAACAAGGAGTCGATTAGATGTCCATGGCACTCAGTTGATGATGTGTCTGATGACAAAAACACAATGCAAAGGGCATAAGCTGAGCGACAAAAGAGTTATGTTAGGGTCCAGGAGGATGCTTAGGGAAATGCAGCTTTTCGTTTGTCAAAATAAGTCGAATGGAGCGGCGGTTTGAAACATGGTTTAACCACCAGTACCCTTTCTAAGCTTATTGACGCCGAGTTGACCCTAAAATCGCCTTGCTCGCCAAAAAATGCAGAGCCAGCACGGGCCTCTTTGTGGGGCTGGGGACGTTAGCCGTTTCGGTCCGGTATTCGGACCCCTGAAAGATGAGGGCACATGCTGCCGCGTATGTGTTTTTCAAGCGGGGAAAGGTACTGGTGGTACAGGTCTGTGAACATACAAATCTGTATGGGTGTCTTGGCATGGCCCATCCCTGATGCCTTTTGGGAACGTCTTAAACCACCAGTACCTGGCCCAGCTATCGAATCCGAGCCTCGGCCGACCGGTACGCCGATCCGTGCCGAGGCTCGGACTACCGGGCGCAGGCATCCCGAACGTCGGAGTGAAAGAACGAAAAAAATGGGAAAAAAAAAATGAAAAAAAAAACGAAAAAAAAAAACGAAAAAAG